GATGAGAAATCCCACTGATTTGCAATATACCTTTGAAACAGCTTATTTTCATTACTAGTAATATGAAAATTTATATTCTTTGACACACCCATGTATATAATTAACTCAATCAAGCAGTAAATTATTTTTGAAAATATTTACTTGCTATTATTTGAACAGTTGCTTAAACTATTAGAAATATTGGCTTTTGATTTTAAGAAATTATGGCCTGCTAGATGAACAATAATATCATGTAATTATAACAAAAGATTTGAAATGCTTGAAGGGTATCATACAACTTTGGAGCTTTACAAATTACTCATAGTGCATTATCTCCAATGGTGGAGGGGATAGTTGAATCCATTACATTCACTTATGTGCTAATACCCTTGGGAAAGGCATGAATCCTCTTCTTCTCCCCACAGCTATGGGTAAATAGCAAGACAGACCAGGTTCTATAACCTTGGATGGCAACTGGTCTACCGCAGAAAGAAATGGCAACCTACTGGGGGAAAAAAAATTTACCTTGTCAATCATGTATCGAAAGTTACATGATTATCTAAGTGTGTATCATGGCACATAACTAACTGAAAGAACTTTTAAATTTTATGGCTTGTATGCCATAATGATTTACAATATATATATATAGATAGATAGATAGATAGATACACCTAGTGAGCCAGACAAACCTACCTAGGTTTCACCTAAACGGATCGTCAGGGAAAGCGTGGCTAACGAGGCAAAGGGAAACACACATTTATAGGTAAAATCACGTGACAAACCAAAAAAAAAAAAAAAAAAAAAAAAACAACAACAACCTAAGTGGGGGGGTTAAATATTTATTCAACAACAAAAAAAAAAAAAATCCTCAGTGGAAAGTCATTAACGGGAAAAATGTCTAATTTAGTAGCCATGATTTTTTATGTCTACATACATTGAGAATTTCAGTTTTAGAGTTCAATAGTTGGTTAGGGCGATCATATAAAGCTATGGCTAATTTCTCCTCAGCACATAATTTGCGAAATTTATGGCTTGCTTTATATTTTTGGCATTTTTTTTAATATTTCCCATTTAAGGATGGGGTCTATATTATCTTGTTTGGTTTTCCATACGTAGGTAGATAGCGTAGTACTATGTTTAATTTTTGCATTCTTAAAAACTACTCGTATGGTTATAATATCTTTTCTTAAATTTATCCTGAGTAGCACCTATGTATATTTTAGGGGTTAATATCCTCACTATTTTTGTAAATCTTCACTTGATACACCACGCATTCTTGCTGGCATTTTCCTGTAATGGACAGATGTTTTGTTTCTACAATTACAAGTAGGAGGATTGCTACGTGGATCATTCCTAGTTTTTTTCTTATTCAATCCGTTTATAATAGTCCCTACGTTCGGCATACAACAATAACTAAGTTTTACATTATTTTTGTTAAATATTTTATGTAACTCAGTTTTTTGGGAAATGTTGTTCCAATAAATTAAAGAATATCTTACCAATTTTGGTTTTTTACCGCTAAATTGAAAGGGGGATTAAACCACAAAATTTTTTCTTTTGCCTATTATGTCTATTCCGAGTAATATTGTGGTTGTCTATATATTCTAATTTATTTTTATGTCCACTCTTAATTAGGGCTTGCTCATAACTTATTTTGTTGGCTTCAAAAATGTCCCTATTAGAGGAATTAGTTGAAAGTCTATACCCAATATTTTTAGAGATGTGCCTTATAATATGGGCTGGGTGATTTGATTTTATGTGTAAATACTGGGGTTCTTGGTTTTCGAAACGAGTCTAGTTATTTATATATATATATATATATATATATATATAAAACAGATTGAAACTTCTATAATATAATTGTGCCTTATTTAGCTACCCTAAATATCTTCTTGATTCCCATCTCCTCTAAATCTTTCTATTTTATGTCATAATAATTATAATTTATAAAATCTTACACTACTTAGAATATTCCCCAAATTTTCTTTCCGTTAATCCTTTTACATCTTTGTTACCTTATATATCGTTTATTTTTATTTGTTCCTATTTCTAATAACCCCAATTTGTCTTCATAGGGCTAATATTCTTGGATATCATTTAATACATCTTCTCCCCTTTAAAATAGATATTGACCATCTTCTTTGATCACTGATCCCTGTCTGGTGTCATCGCCTGACTTATACATTAAAAAGTGTGAAATCTGTATTAGGAATCTTTGGCATAGTAAATTTTAGGTTTATCTCTTACCATATTACTTTTTTACAGTTAACTTTTACTTCCTGTTTCCTCTAGCTCTATGGAAGTGAATCCCATTTCATACTGGGGTTGAAAAGACAGCTGATCACTTTTATCTTCTGCGAAAATAGTGTATTCCCCACATAGGTAAAAAGATTTTTTTTTGATTCTCCATCAATGTTCCTCTGTACAAATAAAATAATCAAGCTCTCTTTTTGTGGATCAATTTTAATATTTTATATTCCTAGGACCCACTTGGATTATACACCTATGGAATTTTTTTTACCATTTTTATATATATATATTCATATCGCTGCAAAACTGAGGTAGGGTTTATTTGTAAAAATATAATGAAAAGAATAATAAACACTATACAAAAATCATCTCATAACAATTTGTGGAAAGATTCTTATGATGCTAGAAAATGGTTACATAATATTAAAATAAAGAAAAGGCCACATTTATTCAATTTGATAAAATAGATTTGTACTCTTTCATATATAAAGATCTTTTATTAAAAAGTATGAATTTTGCTAAAAACTATGTAGAAATTTCATCTTAATTTTTAGATATAACATTAAACTTTTTGAATAACACATTTAAACCTTATCACAAAGATAATGAAATTGCAATCTATATTAATGTTAAGTCGAACCATCCCTATGAAATAATTAAACAAATTCCTAACATTGTAATGACTAGAATCAATAAATTATCTTTGAATAATAAAATTTTTGATGAAAATAAAATACCTCAAAATAAGTGGCTTTAAATAAAAATTGTTTTACATGGAATCGTGAAAAGATACTAAAATAAATAGAACCCGACAGAGAAAAAGAAAAGTTATATAGTTTCACCCTCCTTTCTGCCAACTACCTAATATAAATATCGGTCAATACTTTCTGAAATTGATTGACAAATATTTTAACCAAAATAACCCACTTGGTAAGATTTTTAATAGAAAAACCTTAAAAATTAGTTACTTGTGCACAAATAACATCTACAATATTATTAATTCACACAATAATGAAAGATTAAACCAATTTTATATCAATAACCAAACAGACAACAAACCCTCTTGTAATTGTATAGTCAAAAACAACTGCCAGGGTGGAGGCCTATCCAAATCTGAAAATGTGATATACCAAGTAACTATTTTTCCTAAAGAAAATGTAAATAATAAAAAAGTATATATCAGAATTTCCACCGGAATTTGGAAGCAGAGATTATATAATCACAAGCATTCTTTCTCTAACCCCTTATCTAAAACACCTGACAGCTCTTTCTAAATATTTCTTAATTAAAGGATAGAATCTTCTCCCTACAGATTGAATGGAATATTATAGGTAAATCTCAAACCCCCAACAACTTTAGAAATAGATCTAACTTATGCTTGGAAGAAAAAATTGAATAATCATATTTAAAAAACTAGTCAGCTGTTAAACCAAAAGAATGAGATCATATTTAAATGTTGCCATAAAAATAAATTTAAATTATCTTATAAATAGAATTTTAGTCTATCTTGTTTTATTTACAGACATACAATTATTTTGCGTTAATTATTGAAAGTAATATAACTTGATTTTTGTTTTCATTTTTATGTATTTGGGTGTATATATATGCAGGTGTATGTATGTATATATATATATGGATGTATATGTGTGTGTATATGTATGTGTTGGATTCTATAAATATGAAAATGAATTAGATATTAAATTTAAGATGTTTTTGATTTGTAGTATATTATTTTCACTTCTCCCTTACATATATATATATATTCATTCATTTTATTTAAATTATTTTCTCTTCTTCCTTTCATATGTGTATATATATGTATTTATGTGTGTGTGGGTCAGTGTATATGTTAGTATTTTAGCTGTTAGTATGTTCTCCCAACCACCACACATGATAATCAGGTTGAAAGTTAACAATCCCTCCTCCCCCATATATGCCTTCAATATTATAAATCCCCAGAAAATAGATTTTCTAGGTCAAACGTCTAGACTTCCTGTTCTTGTTTATTTTAAATATTCTGGATAAATTTAAACCATTTGTAATTTCGGCCTGATGAGACGCGTGTTTGTAACTATTAACTTAAAATGAATTAATTTATAATCGTGTTTTCTAAGTTTTGTTTTCATTGATGTATATTCCAAATTATGTACCTAAACCAGCGGTTCCCAACTTTTGATGAATTATTGAACGAAACAGGGTAGGGTTTTCAACTTTTTTGAGTTTTGAAATGTTGTCAGGTAAAAACTGGACGAAAAGGGTTTGGGAAATTCTGTTTCAACAATTGTATCACTATATTTTCTTCGAAGATTTGAGCAAACAGTTTTCTTTCGTCCATTTTAGCTTTTCATTTATTTTTTTTTTTTTTTTTTTTTAATTAAAATGTAACCCGGATATAAGAGAGTTGTCGGGACCGGAGAAGAAGTCTCTTATATCCGGATTTGGTCTATTTTGTTTAGGTAAGTATGGGAACAATTTGGGACCAGATAAAATCTCTCTTACACTGTACTTTGAATTAAGACTTAATTGTTTCAATCCGTGGAGTTCTTGGATTAATATGGAAATAGATTTTTTTTTTACGGGATGTGCTGCACGGTAGAAGAAAAGGGGCAAACGTTTTTTGCCAATAATAATGCTTGTTTCATTTTGTACATGTTGTCGACCAATCAGCAACATTTTTACTTGAAGCATTTGGTCTTCCTCCATTTTACCCGGCTTGTAAGACACGTGGTGTCTCGTTCTTGTCTTATTTCGAATGCTGGAAATAAATTAAAATGGGTGAGTTTGTTTTTATTAATTTTTTTTTTCTTCTTTCTTTCTCCGGGGGGGTTTGTATTTTCCTAACTATGAAACCATTTTGAAAAAATTGTAAAATTCTTTTTTGCTGTTATAATTACTTGTTGATGCTACTAATTGTGGTACGTATTTTCAACGTATATTTTAAACGAGAGATGATTCCACGTGGTGATAGTAAATTTCACTTTTCTATGTAAAAAATGTTCCAAACTTCAAGACTACCTATTTTATTTTATTTTTTTTAAATTTGGTTATTTTAAGCAATTTATGCACCTTTTTTTTTTTTTTTTTTTTTTTAAACTACGTTTGCTTGTTTTTATTTTCCCTTTAATTTTTCAATTATTTTTAAAAATTGACCTATTTTTTTTTTTTTAACTTGAGACAATTTTAGTGTTCATTAAGCTGGTGTTTTCACAATTCAGACTGAAAAATGATTTTCAGGTAGTTTATTTTCAACTGGGATATAAAAATGTGATAAACAACGAAAGTTATTTTTTGTTTTTTTTTTTTTTCTAATTGTTCTTGTATTCCAATAAAAACACTTTATGTAACACTAACAGGCATCGGAATAAAAATGAATAATAAATATTAAAAACTTCTAATTTACAGTAAATTAAGCACCCCGAATTTAATAAATATTTAAAGCTAACAATTTTATATTCAATACGAATTTTTATTTACACAATAATAATTATTGTAAATTAAAGAAAGACCGTTGCTTTTATCTGGTTTTGTGATTGTGGTCAAACCATATGAAATTCACTTTTCGCCTATCCGTAATGAAGAAGCGGGCAAAATTTGAATTTTACACGAAGCCATGTGATTTTTAAAAATCCTATCTGATTATCGTTTCTATCGCTTTTAAATGCAAAATTTTGTATATCTTTCATTTTCGCTTCCAAAATAGTGATTTAACCTCCTCTTTTTACCTACCATATTCTGAATCGACATAATGTTTCAAGCGTTAAAAATTCTTTTTCTCTCTCAAATTTTGTCCTCAAATGAGATCATTTCTTATAAATTTAAATAATTTTTTTTTTTTTTTTTTTTGAATGATTGAATAGTTGTACTTAAAATATTGTATTTCGGACACTATTTTTTTGTTTTATTTCTCATTTATGCATGAAAGTTGAAATGAAATCTTGAAACCAATTAAAAATTGTAATGTTTGGTAAATAAATTTATCGATGTTGAATTATACGATACGAAATAACGTTCGAAATGCAACATAAAATTTATAAATACAACTTTACAAAAAAGCATTTGAAATTCAATTAAATTTCAATTTTAAATAGCAGAAAAAAATGCATGATCAGAATGTGAGGCGTGTTAAATTAATCTAAGGGGAGATAATTCAGTATTAGATATAATAAAATTAAATAGTTTTTCTTTTATATTGGAGTTTCTTGTTTCAGTTTTATGCAGTTTCCTTCAGTTATTCATTTGCTATTTTTTCAAACTACAGAATTTTTTTAATACTATTTTGTCATTTTTCTTGGGTTTCCAGTTTATTTAAATCCAAGCAAAATTTTGTGTGTATTTTTGTCAGGGAATAAAAATCATATTTTTTTTTTTTTTTTTTTTTTTTTTTTAAATAAATTGTATATAAACATTTTGGTTTTCTTCACATATCACTTCTATACCTTTTCAACTTCAAAATGATAATAATCAACTTCAAAATGGACTTATTTTCAATTAAAAAAAAATTAATCAACTTCAAAATGAGAATAAACAACTTCAAATTGAGATTTTCTTTTTTGTTAAATTGAAATTTTTTTTTTTTCAATTAATTTACACCATGAGTAAGGAAATTGACTGTTCATCTTCATTATATAGATGAAGAAAAAACAAAATACAAACAACTTAGAGGCCAAGAAAGCATTGGGTGAGCCTACAGTAAAAGTAGGAGAAAGTCCTGTATGGGGAAAAATGATGATTGATGATGATGGAGAAACCTCTACAAAAGAAGCTGAATAAGAATTAGCAACATCTCCAAAGAGGACTTACCTCAAGAAAACTGTGTCTGGCGAAAAAAAGGCCCAGATTTTAGCTGCACATGCCGCAGCAGGAAATTGGAAAGACCTGGCAAGAACAATTGGTGCACCTCTGCCAACAGAGTACCGTTGGTTAGACCAGGGTGCTGATAAGAGTGACTCTAGGGGAGGGGCAAGAAAATATAAAATTATGCAAGAGCATAAGAATTTTATGGCCGAATTAATTGAAAACTCTCCTAGGGTCACTCTTCAAGACATTGTAAATGTCAAAGTATGAGGTTCGTGTGATGAAAGAATGCATAAGAAAGCATTTGGACTCCATGGCCTTTACTTTAAAAGTGGTTCATTATGAACCAGAAGCTGCCAATAATAAGGCAAAACGTAAGGATTATGCAGTAGTTTTATTAGAATTTCAGTCCCAAAGTGTGCCAATTCTTTATATGGATGAAACCAATTTTAATCTCCATATTTCAAGAAGAGAAGGTCGCTCTAAAAAAGGCACAAGGTGCACTACAGTCGTGGCCGGATCCCGGGGAAATAACATCCATGTTATTGGATGTATTAGTAATAATGTATTAATTCATCATAAAATTAAAAGAGGTTCTTTCAAAAAAGAGGATGTGAAAGAATGGACCAGGGAGTGCCTTAGAAAGGCAAATGAAATTTATGAAAGGGGAGTTGTCTTTAGTTATTGATAACGCTCCTTGCCATACTTCAGTTGAAGAATTTGTGGAGGAGGGTGAATTTAGGCAACACCAAATTTTCAGATTTGCCCCCTATAGTCCGATGTTGAATCCCATTGAAAAGGTTTGGTCAGTCATTAAAGCTGACGTAAAAAGAAGTATGGCAGACTCAATTGTTGGGATTTTAAGAGGTGATGGCCAGGGATCTTTAGCTACTAAAGAATTCCGCCTCAGCAAGTTAGAAGCGATGATCTCCAAGACAATTAATATTTCCCCTGAGACTTGCACTAACTTCATATCTGGAATACAGAGATTACTTCCCTCTGTAAGTAACTTAGATAATGTAATCTTTTAAATAAATTTCTTAGGAACGTTTATATCCCTTTTAAGTAAAAATAAAAGAATAAATATTAAATTTATTAGTATTATATTAATTCTCAATTTGAAGTTGATTAATCCGCTTTGAAGTTGATTAATTTTTTTACCTGAAAATAAGTCCATTTTGAAGTTGATTATTATCATTTTGAAGTTGAAAAGGTATAGTTCTAACCCATGTGAAAATTAAATTCTACATAAGCTGATTTTTGTTTCAAATCCTTTATAAATTTGGTATATTGGAAATTTGAATGAGAATTTTTTTTTTTTTTTTTTCTATTGTTCATTGGCATTTTAAAATGGGAAAAATTATGCTCACAGGCATGGCTTTGTTTTTTTTTTTTAAATAGTTAAAAACTTCTCCCATGCACTAGGTTTCAAGAATCATTTTAAATCATTTATTTATTTCAATAATTTGAATTTAAAATTGGTTGTGTTTTTTTGTATAAGAAAACTATTATTGTGTATCTTGGCACTAATTAGGTGTTTATTGTTAAAGATGTGTTTATTTTCAGACACCAGATCTTACACATCTTTTTAGATTCCCCACTGCAGTTCATTGTAGACACCATAAGAATACTTACTATCCTTTTTTTTTTTTTTTTTTTTTTTTTTTTTTCAATGATATATTTGGAAACTGCACAATTTTTATTTTTTCTTTATAATGATGCTCACTCAGTACAAGGCCCGAGAGTCCCTCGAAGTAGAGGGTTACAGGTTAAGAGGCATAGTTTATGTTGGGAAGGTAATGGTTAAGAATGTAATAATTGGGGAAGCATCCTTTTGGGAGTCAGTTTCAGAGAGTAGTGGTTTGTGGGAAGAAGCTACTCAAGTGGAATGTATTTCTCTGGAAAGAAATATGAAGGCAACAATGGTGGTTCACTGCATATGTTCAGTTCACTGATCTCTGTTGGCAATCTGATCATTGTTTACTAGATACTCACCAGAGCCGTTACATGTTTAATATATTTTGATAATCAAACAGGTGAGCAGTATTCTGGATAAACAGATGTTGGGCTTCTATAAAAGGAGTTTTTTGCTGTTTGAAATCTTAAACATTTTTGTAGATTCAGTATCTGTCTATATTTTTGAGATGAGGTAATTTGTATACTATTTACATTATTCGGACTATTGTCTTTGTCGCCATATTTATTACGTTTCAGCTGTTGTACATTCCAGCATTCTTCAGGTGGTTGGAATGTTGAACTGAACCCTTTATTTCACTCACTGGGGTAGCCTGTTCTAGTTTCATATGCCATGTCAAATGGATGTCAGTTATCAGTGGTTAGATCCAGTGACAGGACCCAAAGAGTGTGAGTTCAATACCTGTTTAAGGCGGTGGAGAACTTGAACTCACACTCTTTGGGTCCTGTCACTGGATCTAACTAACACCTTTATTCACTGTGCCATGTGTCCTTAAGGTGGTGGAGAACTTGGAGAGGGGAATTAACAGGAGATAACTGATAACTGACATCCATTAGACATGGCACGTGGAACTAGAACAGTCTACCCCAGTGAGTGAAATAAAGGGTTTAGTACGACGTTCCAACCACCTGAAGAAGGCCAGAGTGTACAACGGATGAAATGTAATAGATTTTTGTTGATAATGCTAATTCTTTAGTTGATCATGTATGCTGTCTTTGTTGCCAGGAATGGTTCAGGAACAGCATGAATAAAACTACCAACCTTTTTTTTTTCTTGTTCAGTTTTTCGATAGTACCTTCAGTTGATTTTTCTGAAGATTGTCTATTATTTTCTTTGCTATAATATTTTATTTACTTTACATTTTAACTGGTTGAATAGAAGTTTCAAAGTTTTCAAAATCTTGAAGGTTCTCCACATCTTTCTGTTCATTTAATTTCCTTTAAATCTTTGTGTCAGTGTTTCCCTCACACCTGGTAGGTCATTAAGAAAAAAAATGAGGAACCTGATTGGGCTTAGAACCAAATATTGGGAACTTGTACAAGTGGTAGTCCTCAATCCCGATTTGTCACTATCTTCCCATCTCTGAATTCTGCCTGTTTTCTATCTACATATAAAACTACCTCTATTACCATAAGTATACAATTTTGTGAGTTAACACACACACATATATATATATATATATAGATATCTCAAGATTTTCTAAAAATAAATTCATTCATTTGTGAATATTTTGTGAAAGTTTCATTAAAATCCGATAATTATCTTATTTTTGCAAGACTTTCCTAATTGAATGTGTTATTTTACTGGAAAACAAGCATAAAAATGTTCATTAACAGCTTTGTTACACTGTTGATGCATAAAACAAGTTTTTTAACCTAAATTTTGAATGTGCTTGTAAAAAAAAAAAAAAATACTTTGCTTTTTCCTCTTAACATAAACATTTTGATGATAAAACTTAGTTAATATTGTGTTTGGGATCTTTTTAAATGATGCTATGCTATTTTTTAGCAAAGAAGTGGAGGTATATATATAATAAACATCACATTGTTTGATGTTATTATTTCAAATGCTTTTTAGTAGTTCTTACTCTTCATTCATTGGGAGATGTAGTTGGTATGAAATAGACATCAAGGTTGCTTTACCAGAAAATTTCTTGGATTTCTTTTTCTTTTTTTAATTTATTTTACATGCATGAACTCATTGAAGTTTATCAACTGTTGCTTTAAATACTGTTTTTGTTTTAAATTTATTGAATCAGTTTATAAAAAAAACAACTTTTGTTCTGTCAATTTAAAAACTTTGTCATAATTCTTAGAAAAAATATAGTTTCTTAATTGAACTGATTAAATGTAAACGCTGTTTTTGTTTTGAATTTATCAAATGAATTAAAAAAGTTGTACTGTCAATTTAAGTGATTTGGCATGATTAAAATTGTTTTTTTGGGATGATGGTAAAATGAAAATACTTAGCAGTTTAACACAAAAATTAAAGATACTTCAGTTGGGGCTCATTGAATTTCTCAAGGTCACACTGAAATCGCCACCTGTGGATACCAAGGACTCATTTACATTAAAAAAAAAAAAAAAAAAATGTCAGCATCACTGCCTAAAGCTCAGCTTTTCAGTTGATCACTGCTAGTTCCATACACACAGCTTCTTGTTGCTTTAGTACTAAATAATTGTGTGAGACTTGTTGAATTGTGTTAATATAAATAAGAAAGGGACTCCATATCCAGGCTGACTTGCTGAGTTAGGAACAGATTAGGGGCACATTCTATTTCAGTCAAGTTTGATGTAAAGTTAGATTCCCATGCATTAACTGTATCCAAGATTCTGTCATTAGCTCACTCAACATTTCAGAGCCATAGTATTCGAACTGTGGTCGAAAATTATCTTTAATGTCTGTGGGGACAATAGTGCATCATACTGATTGTTAATATTTTGTTTGGAAGTCATCTTTAGTGGCTTGTATTTTGTCAATCATCACTTTTCTCTTCATTTCTACATCTAGTAGAACCATTTCACACCTGAGGACTTGTAATCTTTAATGACATGAATGATCATGGCTCTCCACAATTTCCTGTCCTTTATAGGTCTTAGTAAGATTTGCCTTTTTGCTATTCTTCTTAATTTTGCCAGCTATTAAACAAGCTTGTTAGGTAGATTATTTGCTGCTTTCCCTTTACCATTAATATGTCCTGTGAGTGTGAAATTCTCATGTAACCATAGAAATTTGAACTGTTTCTGATTCACAGTTGATGATATTCTCAGCATCCTTTTTATAGAACCACATTTCTTTTGGCATACATCTCTTCACCTGTGAGGAGATTGTCCATCATACACTGCCATATAGAAGGATTAGTATTAAGATTATAAAGGGTCTACATATGTAGCTATCTACCCCAAAAATACACACACATACACAGAGTTCAGAACTTTCCCTTGTTTGTAACAGTTTTCCTGATAATATTTTGCTTGGCATGTTTCATCATTCCAATGTGTCTTTGAATTTAAATGTCACATTTTCCATCCTCTGTTAAAAGTATGCAGATATTGAAATTTTCATACTTGCTTTATTATGGAGTCTCCAATTCATAGTTCCATCTACTGAGCTGTTTCTTTTGCTGCCAATCATATCAATTGATGTTCTTTTTTTTTTTCTTGCTTTCCTTTACTATCTTTTGTAGGGGTTTTTATAGTTTTGTTTCTGTGTTTGCTATGATGACTGTGTCCTGTGTATATCTTAAGAGTGTGGCTGCCAATATTGAATCCTGGTAGGACTTTTAATTCTCTCAGGATCTGTAATGATTGAGTAAATATGGTGAGAAGACACATGTTATGTTTCTTTCAATTTTTCTGTATTTAGTGAATTCAATTTCTACCTGTATTCAGGTAGTTTGCTCGCAGTATAAGTCCTGGGTTATTCTAATATGTGTCTCATATAAAATCAGGGTTATTTAACAGTTTAACTTTAAGGTTTTTCAATTGTGATACTGTAGCAAGTAATTCATGAATCTCTACTTGATGGATTGCAGCTTTGGATGTCCATTCTAACTGCAGTGCCACATTAACTATAGTATGAATTTATATTCCAAGTCCTTGTATAATCCCATTTGTGATTATGAAAAATTCCTTCTTGATATTTCTGCATCTTACTTATAAAACGCAGGTTGTGTGTGTGTGTGTACGTTTATATATTTGATTGGATTTCCTACATTTTTCAACTGATTTCAACAAAACTTCACAGGACTATGTAAAATTACATTGTGATGGTTCTGACAGCACCAAAAATGGAAAACACAATTGTTTTTGCACTAAATCGATTTGAAAACATGATTCTGTTGCCAGAATGAAACGGGGACAACTCATCTTGAATTATACTTATTATAAAACCCAGGTTGTTTGTGTGTGTGTATATGTTTATATATGGGATCGGATTTCCTACATTTTTCAACAAAAATTTCCTTTTTTTTTTTTTCCTTTTTTTTTTTTTTTTTTGGCAGATAGTGTTTCTTATTGTCTTGCACACTTTTTCTTTTATTTTTACATTCAGAATGCTTTAAAAATTCCATTTACACGACAATTGTTTATAATAAAATTCTATTCAATCGATAGACTCATAAAGATTGAAAACAATGTTTTTGTTTGAGTTTGACCAATTCGTAATAATAAAAAAAAAACTAATTAAGACATGCGTTTCCGTCAACCTTAAACAATAATCTTTGTCAATTTTATTTTTCAGTCTTTATGATGGTGGATACTTGATCTATCTCTTACTGTTATATCCCCGGGCAACTCCGGGCTCTACTGCTAGTCATAGATAATTGTGTGTGTGTGGGGGGGGGGTCCTCTCCAATATCCTATGCTTTTCTTATTTAATAATTGTCAATGCTTGAGGTTTATAATTCATATATTTGCCTATCTTCAAAATCTTGCCTCCTGTTCAAATTTTTTGCTTGTTTGACTTGCTGACCTACAGTCTTCCAATCATCCTTTGAAATGTTGACTCTGTTTTCTTGTCGGCAACATTAACTAATGTTTCAATTGGGTCAGCTGTAAATGTTCTCTTATCCTTTCCAGCTCCCTATGTTTCTTTTTCTGAACCAAATGTAATATGTATGGAGTATGGAAATTCCATTGAAAACTTGTCTTTGTTTTTTACTCGAGGAAAAAGTCTTAAAATTGAATTGACATTTTCATGAATTTTGTGAATTGTTTGCTCTATAAAGAATGCTGAAAAGTTAACATTTTGTAGGATTTCAATTTTTGTAATGTTGTAATTTATTTATTTATTTTTTTTTTTCAGGTGAAAATATTAAAAAGAAGAAAAAGAAAATGTCTGAATCAAATATTGCAGTAAGTGATTGAAAATTTTGTTATGATAAAGTAAAACTTGTAGTTATTGTGAGAAATATTGTTATTTTTTGCTAGCAATCTCAAATGAGAGTCCTATGATCTTAAAACAAAAAAAGATTAATTTTTAACTTGCAAGTGATAAATTGCAATACCAAAGCTTTCAAGTGATTTATAAGGCAGACATTTGATTTACAGAAGATTTGCTAAGAGAAAAATATTAATTTCTGATAAGATTTATAGCAATTAAGTAGGGAGGACAGAAAAAAAAATGTAATATTTTAGTATGTGTAGATGAATATTTGAAGTGTATTGAGAATGAATTCTCAGAAGCTATTTTGAGGAATTTCTTTTCAGTCAGATGTCAATTTTTCACAATGTCCTCCATTTTGTTATTCAGGTGTTTATATATTCTAAAAATGTGCACACTGTTCACCTCAGGTTAAAAAGCAATGTTTATTTAGCTAATTGTTGTATAATTGTTTTGTGATTGCTTATCTGAAATGTTTCAAGTAAAAACATTTTCTTGAAAATGTCATTTATGATGGAAACCAGGATTAATTTCCTCAAATTTTCAAATCAATGCCAATTGATGTTTTAAATGTAACAACTAAAATATTTGCTTAACTTCTGATTGAATTACTGTTAGTTTAATGTGGTGTTGAAGTGCAATGTTTTTTTTTTTTTTTTTATTTTTAAGGGAATTATGTAAACCTCAAATGATAATCTGAAAATGCAGGATGTAAAGAAATGATTGCTGTGCACAAACTATTATATTTGCCAGGTCACCAAAGAAAGAATATGTTTTGAAAATTATGTTCTTTTCTGTTAACTTGCTAAATGATTTGAATTGTGTTAATTGGGAACAACAATTTTGAAGAGTTCCCTGGTCTTCCCAAATGAAACCTTCATGTCAAGAACACGCCATGCCACTTACATAGTAGGAAACTACCCACATTACACTTGTATTCCTTTGATGAGAAGCAAGTTTCACTGGAACAGCTTATTCCTGCAAGCCACTGCCCTGTGGAACTGACTCTGAACAGTAATTTGGCCAATCACTACAATAGTGATTTTCACTGTTACAGTGCATTGCTTGCATCATGATTGTAATACATTGAAAAATATCTGAATATCAATGGATTATGCTAAAAAAAAGCAGAGCTAATGTTTGTAATGTATTTAATCTATATATATATATATATATATATATATATTGCATGAATCATTCATACAAAAAACAGATATAGAAGTTAATGATTTAAATGGTGAGAATAAATCTTCACAAACAAACAAATTTAATAAAGTACATTAACCCCTGAACCTGTATATGAATGTTATGATCCTGTTTTATAACATTTATATATACAAATCATTTTTATTAAATTTGTTTGTGAAGATTTATTTTGCCATTATGAATGATTAATGTTTTTTTTGAATGACCAATTAATATATATATATATATATATATATATATATATATATATATATATATATAATTTATTTATTATATGAAAGACATCAATGTATTTTGTGATGATTTGTATATCTTCCTCATTTTAGAATGTTGTTTATTCTCTAATGTACAGTATAAAAACTACAAATCACTGCAGAAGTGTTTTTTGCTTTGGTATTTTTTTTGTTTTTTTTACTTGCCTTACTTAAAATTGAATCTAATGTATTGAAAATGTTTATGTTTATGTTATTGTTTTTTTTTTTTTTTTTTTTTTTTAAGTTTTGGTGTCATTTTTTTGACAAAGAATTAAAAAAAGAAAAGCCTGCACACTGATAAGAACACAATTGAATAAATATCAATGTTTTTCAATACAAGTAAAACTGAACATACCTAACACATTAAAAAGACAAAAAAAAGAAAAATTTATTGGTCATACCTGTAATGTTGTTATATTTTTAACCTCATCAAACTATTAATCCATGTCCACCCAGGTAGAAAAAAATCACAAAATCCATTGTCCAAAATGGATATTAATGAAGAGGTTTGTAGTTAGTTGATGTACCACTAAAATGTTTTGTATGTGTTGCATCTCTGCTCAAATTTCTAACTTCATTTTGCCATTACGTGATCATTTTAAAAAAAAAATTCAGTTAGGGACTGCTTATAGTTTTTAAATCTTTTAAATTTAATTTCTGAAATGTAGAGTGATCAATTTGGACAAGTTTTCTCATTGCAATTGAAAATGCTTGATAATACAGTGTGTAAAAGGTTGTGATAAACATAAGAAAAGAAGTTAAAATGAAACAACGTATGAAAGTTTGAGTTTCCATGTAAGATCTGTAAGCAGAATGGCTTCTTCTTTGTGTACAGACGAAAAAATATAATAGTTTAGTAAAGTTTGCCAGAAATTGTAAAGTAATAATTTTAAGTAAATGAAGATGTATTTTCGTGCATCATACTGAGGTTTAATGAAATGATTTGTCTTATGGATAAGCAATAATTTTATATCTAGCAGGAAGTGAATGTTTTGTAGAGAGTTTTGTTTTAATGAAGAACTGCTTTTCACTCTAATAGTTGTTAGGCCTGTTGAAATATGGAATAATTAAGTAAAGAATGGCTTTAAAAAGGCACTCAAGTGAAAAAAAATATTTAATAGAAAAGAATGTGTATATTAAAGGTTTTACAATGGATTGAATGCAAGATGGTAGACTGAAATATATGTAACACAAATTTTCTTTTTATGTCTTCTGTACAGGACATCCAGCATTCTTCTTCATTCTCAGTGGCACCTTCAGATCATGGAGAGAAATTGGATGCATCAGATTGGCCTCTACTGTTAAAGGTAGATACATTGCTTAATTTTTCACTTGACATTGTAAGAAAAATGGAAATTGTTTTGTTTTTAAATTTCAATGCTTTTTTAAATTGAATTTTCAGTTAGATTACTTGATTTATTTTAAGCAATATTTTGACTTGGACTAGTAAAAAGACAGAAATTTGAAAATCATGTGTTCTGCTTAACTGCCTGATGAAGCAATAACTTATTCTTAAGTCATCATTGGATCATTGTATGGAAAGGAATAAGTCAATGTAAATTTAAGTAAAATCAGTAGTAAGTCGAATGTCTAAAGACTCACTAGTAGATTATTAGGAGCTTATAAACTGTAAAATTTATTTGGACAAAGAAAATAATTTAACAAACAAAATGAAACATATTCAGCATAAGATGAAAATGAAATATTGCCAAAATTATTCAACAGATAAAAAATTTAATTTCATAAAGATAGAATGTTTCTCCTTGTATTAGGTTATGATTGAAAAATCTTGTTTCTCAGCATGAGTACACTTCAGTGTACATTTCCAGTCGCTGATGACAAGTCCAGCCTTGCTGAAAGAAGGATGAATTAAAAAGAAAAAAGTAGGGATTATTTATCTAAAGTCTTTTTTTTTTTTTTTTTTTTTTTTTTAGGCATTAAAGGTAATTTAGTGATAGAATTTATGACTTGGATTAAAGTTTCATTATTAAACTTTTGAATAAATTGTCAAGTAGAAATAAATACCATGTTTATTAACAATTTAGTAAAATATGAAAGAAATTGTTGCATAAATATTCATGTTTTGTTTTGTTTGTGTGTCTTTGGATGACACATTTGGTTGAGAAAACAGCATAGGTGAGATAAAAAAAAAAATGCTAATTGTAATTACAGTAGAAATCCCCGGCAAGTGGACTAAGAACGACTTCTGGATATGAGGAATTGGTTACAAAATCTGGATATGAGGGGGTTCTATTTAGATTAAAATGAAAGAACTGAAATCAAGTTTAACATTTATTTTGAATGTTTTATGGTAAACAAAATAAGAATTAATTTTAAGGAAAAAGTATTCCATGTATGCAAAACAATGTAACAAGGATTTTTTAATTGTTGCATGATGATTACTTCTCTTCTAATGTCATTCTCAACTTTTTCTGCATTTTGTTTTGCTTTTTAAATTTTTTTTAAACAAAAGACACTTTTTAACTCTGCATGCATTATTGCAATTGTCATAGGTGAATACTGGCTTTCTTTCCATAAAACTGACAAGCTTTTCAATAGCTTTTTCAATTTCAGTCCAGGTTTCATCACAATCATGTTTTTTATTTCCTTGTTCATTGTGACTGTGTGAATGTTGGGAGATTTTATATCATACGATGTTGAATTTCCTATTAATTATGATTAAGTTTCACAAGAGTCTCATCTGTTTAAAACTTACACTTTTTGTGATAATTCTAACTACTTTTCTATCAGTTTCCTACCACTGTTTGGCAAAGTCTTTGAAGCTTTAATCCATGCTGAAGTGGTTAAGCTCCTTATATCCCATGATCTGCCCTCTGACAAGCAATATGGTTTTTGCTTTGCCCATTCTACAGGTCATGTGCTTACAGCCATAAGTAAAATTGTTTACCAAGCACTTGACAATAATGGAGAAGCTCCTTCTATGGCTGTAGGTATTTGTAAAGCATTTGATAAGGTTTGGCATGCTGGCCTCCTTCATAAGCTTTAAGGATACAGAATTTCAGGTTGATTATTTGATTTAATACGATCATTCTTGTCAAACTGTTTAATGATGGTCGTCCTTAAAAGATTCTCCTCCAATTCCTTTCCCCCAAGGCTCTATACTGGTGTCTACTCTGTTCCTTAACGATGTTCTCAGTTCCCAAGTAGTCATCTATGCAGATGACACTACAATTTACTCCCTCAAAAGCAAATCTGGTATCACTGACAAAACTAACATGGCCATTAGTCTTGAAAAGCACATCCAATCGGTTGCTGACTGGGGCAGGAATTGGTTGGTTAATTGTAATGTCGTCAAAAACAAAACTGCTCTGTATTATTCACCACAGGGAACCATCACTGCCTCCCATGAAAATGTCTGATGCTCAGCTCCATGGGAGCACCTCTTTGTGACTGTTTGGTCTCACACTGTCTGCTGACCTGAGATGGAACTAATAAATTGAATCAATAGCTTTATCCATTGCAAGGAAAGTAGGTTCCCTGTGCTGTGCCAGAAAGTTTTTCTCATCTGAGTCCATCCTTCAAATGTATAAATCAACCATTCACCCTTGCATGGAATACTGCTGCCATATATGGTCTGGTGCACCCATTGTTTGTCTTAAGGTCCTCAACAAAATTCAGAGATGGATAGGCAATGTGATTGGCTGTGATCTGGCATCTCGTCTATAGTTGATCTCTCACAGATGTGCTGTTGCCTCCCTGTCTTTTCTGTAAATACTTTCATGATAACTGCTTTGACAAGCTACTTTTGCTAGTTCCCAGACTTCATGAATTTAAATGTGCAACCAGGCTGGCATCTTTTCCCCTGTGAAAACAGTTAAATGTAGCCGTCTCTTCTACTCCAATAGCTTCATGCCTCGAACCTCCTGTCTGTGGAATTACCTTCCTATTACTTGTTTTTGTAATAGCTATAATCTCTAACTATTGAAATATAATGTCAGTTGACATCTGATGCCTTGATCTATTCACTGTCCTTCTCTTCATCCTTTCCTGTATCATGCCTCTTTATTCTCGCTCCAACTCTCTGTAACCCTTTGCATGCTAGTGGCATCCTGCCTTGCTTGGGGTTAAAGTTGTTATTTTCCTCTTATTCCCGTCCTCTTTTGCACCAATACAAGCCATTAGGATGAAATAAGCATAAGCAATTATCCAAAGTAAACTTTGTGAAAAACACAAATTTCAAATCCGTTATATATCACCCAAATAAACACATGAAAATCATGGCTGGATATGAGGGATTGTATTGTATTACATTGACTGCTGATCTAAACAAAACAAGATTTTTAGGCCAAATTTTGAATGTGCTAGGAAGGATTAGAAAATGTAAAAAGAAAATACTTTAGTCTTAACTATTAATAATAAGAAACAATTTATTTAGTTTGGGGCCTTTTTCTCCCTCATGTAATGGTTTTTTGTTTTGTTTTTTTTTTCTTCTTCTTTCTCCATTTTTTTCCTCATTTGAAAATGTTCAATGATAAAAATGTGAACAAATAGATTTATTCCTATTTTTGTTGAACGTTTCCTATTACTAATAGTACAAATGTTGATAAAATTTAATTTTATTACAATCTGAAAGTCTTTCAACTGTGTTTCCTTGAGTATGGTTGCTTAGTAGTAATAGCATTATACTGAATGGTTTCATAACAGTGTGTAGATAAAACAGGGAAAATACTAGTTTTTTTGGTTAAACTGCCTACCTCTAGTCATTGTTGCCAGTTTGTAAAACACGAAGGCCTCATGTCCATTTGTCAGTGTTTTAAAAGTATATTAATTTGGTGATGTGTAGTTTGGGTTTAGTGTGTAAATAAAATATCTTTTGATTCAATTTGCAGGATGTCGATCGCTTGAATATTCGTACCAATCACTTCACTCCAATTCCATGTGGTTGCTCTCCATTACAGCGTCCAATTACAGAATATGTCGGGTGAGTGTCACATTGTTAAGAATAAGTGCACAAGTTTTTTTTTTTTTTTTGTATGCTTAAAATGGACAAGAAATTTATGCACAGATGTAAAGTATGAAAATGGTTTAATATTAAAGGAAAAAGAAAAGTTATTTTGGATGAAATTGTCTGAAGTTGTTCTTGTAATTGTAAATGGCTGTGATTGACCTAAAGAAGGAGAGTAAGCAACAGAGCATTCAGATGCTAAAATAAATAGAGGCAAAGTGAATGTTGAGATGTTGACTGGTAGTTGTTATTGTCAAAGCATGTATTTTACATAGGATTTTTGCAATTGAATTTAGTAGTTAGGGCCATGTCATGTGACATTTGGAAAATCAATGTTATAATTGAGCATATTTTGAAAGTGTGCTTTTTGGTTGTTTTTGTTTGAATGGAAGTAAGTGGTTGAAATTTAAGAATGTGATGTAGTTGAAACACTTTTATGAATTAATGTGGATACTGGAAAGTGATAATAGTGGTTGTGGTCAACATACACATATTTTTGACTGAGTTAAGTAAATGTAAGAAATTGGGTGGAGTATGAAGTTTTCCCCTGACATCAATGTTGGAGGGAAGTTTGTAAGGAGTGAAGCAAAAAGGTGTGCAGAAAAATGGTGACAAAAAAGTGTTAAAGATTTTTTTGAAAATCATGTTTGGATGTCATCCATGAGTGATGGTTGATTTTGTAGAATTTAGTCAATGCTATTTGTATGTTAGAAGCTGGTAGGTTGAAAGTGGTTTTTGTTGAAAGCGTAATTATTTCTTGGTGAATTTTTGCCTTGTGTATGGTTATGGCCAAGTTTGAATGCTGAATTTCTTGTTGAGGTTCTTAAGAGCAAGAAATAAGATGAAATGGAAAAGAATGTGTGGTAAAATTGTTCTTGGCATAGTTTAAGTTTCACTGATGTTGAGTTTGATTTTTTAAAATTTAGTTGCGGCTTTATAAATCTGGATAAACCTTCTAATCCGTCATCTCACGAAATTGTGGCCTGGTTGAAACGTATTTTGCGAGTTGAGAAAACTGGACACAGTGGTACTCTGGATCCCAAAGTGACAGGTTGTTTGATCGTGTGCATTGAAAGAGCAACGAGATTGGTGAAGTCTCAACAGAGTGCAGGAAAAGAATATGTTTGCATCTTCAAATTACATAGTGTTGTTGAAGAAGAAAAGAAAGTAATTCAAGTGAGTGTATTTACTGTTTTGTTTAACTGCCATAGTTGTTTTCATTAACGAGGTAGAAATGTACAAAAGAAATTTTGGTTACACATGTTGAACGCTTGACATTTTGTTTCTACAGTGCTTAGAACGGCTGAAAGGGGCTCTGTTTCAGCGTCCACCTTTGATATCTGCTGTAAAGCGCCAACTGCGGATCCGGACAGTTTACGAGTGCAAAATGTTGGAATATGATAAAGAAAATGCATTTGGTGAGTTAAGTTTTATGTCTTTGATCCTAATAACATTAAAAATGGTATTTGCAGATATTTAATTATTTTAATTTCCTTTGTTAATAAATCTGCAAATTTAAAACAAGGTGTGTGAAATGGAAAATTAAAATGTTTGTCTTGCTAATTTGTAAAAATTGTTCTTGTTTCAGGAATCTTCTGGGTGAGTTGCGAAGCAGGAACATATATTCGTACAATGTGTGTGCATCTGGGACTAATGCTGGGTGTTGGTGGGCAAATGCAAGAACTGCGCCGTGTGAGGTCAGGAATTCAGTCAGAAAAGGTAAAGAACTATTTATGTGTTTGCAGAAAATAGTAATGCATGTGACTTGTTTGTGGTCAATATGAATTTAGAAGACATGGAGTTTTAGCTGCAAAGCAGATTGTTGGGACAAGGATAGGAGAAAGATAAAATGCATTTAATTGTCTGGCTTGTAGTGAAGTCTGATTTGTAAAGTTTGTATCTGCTACTTATATTTGAAAATTAGTACAAATAAATTCTGTGAAAGTGTGTGTCTTTTTTCTGTTTGTAAGTAAAAGGAATTTGGAATGGCTGCGAAAGGCATTGCATGAGGATTTTAACTTGATACATATTTGTGCTGTTTTTTTGTTTTGGAAGAAAATGGTTTGTGGTTATCAGGGGTGGTGAATGTTGGTTGAAGAGTATATATTAAGTGTTAAAATCAGTTTACAAGTATATTTGTAGTTACTGCTATTGTTAAAATTTCTTTTTGTGATGGTAAAATATGACTTGTTTTTTGCAGTCTGGTATGGTGACTATGCATGATGTTTTAGATGCGCAATGGTTATATGACAATCACAAAGATGAAAGCTATCTGCGAAGAGTGATTAAACCTCTGGAAGCTCTGTTAGTGTCGCACAAAAGAATAATTCTGAAGGATTCTGCTGTAAGTATATGTTGAAAAGTGGCTAACAAAGGGAGTGAGTGTTTGTTGAAAGCAGGCTTTTGCCTTGATTCATTGTAAAAGAAAAAAATAGTTGATGTAGAATTTTTTTAAATTGTTGAAGTATTAATTTTGGTGTATCTTATTTAGGTGAATGCTGTATGTTATGGAGCAAAGATAATGTTGCCTGGCGTGTTGCGTTATGAGGACGGAATTGAACTAAATGAGGAGATTGTCATGGTTACTACAAAAGGTGAAGCTGTATGTTTAGGTAAGTGTTGTTTATGCAATTGTCAAAGTAGCTTAGTATTAGTAATGTGAAGGTTTTGAATTTGTTGCTCAGAAAGTGTCAAACTCTGAGCTGTTATAAAATGAAATCTTAAGTGGGCATATTTGAAAGTGGCTTTATTTTATATTGTAAGTACTAAAACATTTTTAATTAAAACTAATGAAAGAGAAGTATTGGAGCATAAAAGTGGAATCTGTAACTTGTGTAGACAGACAATGTGGAAATAATGTAAAGGAAGTAAGTCAGTATTTGTGGGGCTTGTGTTGAAAGTGTTCATTTTTGGTATTTAAAATTCCAAGTATAAGACTCTCAGGCGATTGTGTTTTGTATTTTGCTAAAGTAAATTTTTGGTAGTTACCATTAACATTGTTTTGTGGTGTTGCAGCTCTCGCACAGATGACGACGGCTGTGATGGCTACATGTGATCATGGTGTTGTGGCGAAAATTAAGAGAGTCATAATGGAACGTGATACGTACCCACGAAAGTGGGGGCTTGGGCCAAAGGTAAAGTCAGTTTACTATATTAAAATGATGGGTGAAAGGTTGACTGAATGATTGAGCTGGTTTTATTATTTGAATTCTTGTGGAAACCAGTTGTCTTAATGTAATATAAAGTTGATGATTGTGTAAGAAAAAAAAAAAAAAAAATTAAGTTTTAACAATAGTAAAAAGTAGAGAATGTGTGTACTGTTGACAGATGCAGGCAAAGATTGTTTTTGTTTCAATCAATTCATGTCAAGGTTACCAGAAGTGAAAGAAAAGGAACATGAAACCCAATGTTAAATAGGAAAGAAGGGATAAAGCTCTACTCTGTTCAATAAATGAGGGACTGTGTGAAACATGTAATTCTGTTTATAAGTTGAGGTGTCAGAAATGAAGTTATTTGAGCAGAAGGCAAATTTGACTGTTTAAAAGTGAGGAGTAAATGTGTCTTGTTTTATTTTTTTTTCTAGGCAGCTGTGAAGAAAGAGATGATTTCAAAAGGCTTATTAAACAAATATGGGAAACCTAATGAAAAGACACCTGAGAAATGGCTTGAACTGCTGTATAGGTAAGTTAATGAAAACAGTTTTATGACTGAAAAATATGCTCTGTTTAAAGGGAAGAAAATGTTTATCTGGTTTGTTTGTGATATTTTTATGCTATTGATAACATTGTAAAATAATGTTTTTGTGTTATTTTCAGTTTAAAACCCGAAGTTAAAGAAGAATTTCCACCCAGAAAGGTAAACCGTGTTTTGTTTAATTTATTATTACCATATGAAAAAAATAAAGATGAAAATGTCAGTGAAGTTGGTGTAGAAGTTTGAATTATATTTATTTGAACAAAGCGTAGATGTTGGTAGACCTTGATCGTATAAATTGTGTTGTTTGTTTTTAGCGAAAACGTGAAGCTGGTAGCAGCTCGGAAGAAGAACCAGTTGCAGTTAGTTCTGTCAAAGAGGAAAGTGGAGATGAACAGAAAAAGAAAAAGAAAAAAAAGAAGAAGAAAGCAGCTTTAGAAGAAGAAAAAAAAGCAAGTCCAGAAGAAGAAACTGCTACAGAATCTACGGAAGTAAGGCTAAGTTTTGTCTTGTACTTATGCAGAGAATGTGTTATCATGACTGGAGAAGTAAGTTGTTTCAATTCTTTTTTTACAGACACCTGTTAAAAAGAAGAAGAAAAAGAAACACAAGGAAGAGAAAGCTGAATAAAGTCCTCTCTCTCCCCCTCGTTTTGTACAGTGGTCCAATTGAAAGAAAAGCTTTTGAGAAAGAATGAAATTTTGTACTCGACTATGAAAAAATAAAAATATAAAATGGCAAAAAGAGTTTTGTTAAACCTCGTTCCAATATAGTGTCAGTTACTGGGGAAGGAAGAGTCTTTTGTAAATTTGAAAATTTATGTTTGCTGGTAACTGTTTAACATTCAGTAGGAAAGCTTTTACTTAATGAAATTCTTCTGTTTGTGTAATTGCCAGTAATTAAATAGCCTTGTTGGAAAGCAAGTAAGACTAACATGAGTGTATAAAGAAGAAATGCACAGGGTTAAAAAAAAAAAAAAAAAATGGGTTTGTTAAAAATTATTTGGTATTGACCATATTAATCACAGCTTAAAAGACATTGATTACATTTTTAGGAAGTAGAAGTTAATTTTGGGCCTAATTTCTCAACGTGTAGGTGGGGGGGTGATAAAATTGTGTTGGAAAAGAAATTTGTAACCTTTCTTCATAATTTATTTGCAATAAAGAAAAAAAAAAAAAAAAAAATCACATGTCAAGGAATGAACAGAAGAATTAGGGTAAAACTTGGAAGATAATATTTTTCTATTATGAAAGGTGTGGAAGAAATACATGTAAAGGTTGGTAACAGAGAAGACAGGGTCCCCACTGATGTTTTGCTATCACAATTGAAGAGCAGGTTTAAAGAATGTCCAAAAAAAAAAGTTGGTATGAGATGTCTTCATGAATTGTACAAGGTTTATACACACACATAGGTACCTCCATGAGATTGCTAAAAAAAGAGCATAGCATGATGAAAACAAAATTTTTATCATCTAATGTTTTGTTATTAGAGGAAAGGTCAATATTTTTTTCCATTTTTTAATCGTTTCTAGCACGTCCGAAATTTTATTAAAAATCTATTTTTTTGAGTCAGCAAAAATTAACCATTTTTTCCATTTTAAAAAACTGGAAATCGACTTGAACCAAACTTAACTTAGCTTTTTGCGTAAAAAGATGTAATTTGAAAATAAAACAAAGCAGGTCCATAAACTTTCGCATCTCTTGACATGTGATGAATGATGACGACAAATTCCACAGATAATTTGTTCTACGGAAGGAGAAAGTGAATCAAATATTTATGAACAAATTATTTACCCGTTATTTTTACGGAACTTTCAGCGATCTAATTTTTTTTGTGCCAGCTTATCTTTATTATAATGCTTTTTATGGGAAATATATTATAAAAGAAATTAAATAAAAGTTAAGAGTGAGATTAAATTTCATATTTCTTCATCTAATTAATTTATAGGTACCTTTCTTATAAACTATCAAGTGTACATAAATACTATAATTTTGTACATTTATTACATTCTACTATTTATTTGTATTCATTTTATTATTAATTTTGATATTTAATTTATGGAAAAAATGTAACTGAGATTAATATAAAAAAAAAATAAGATCATATAAAGTTCATAAGATGATAGTGATACTTGTAGGTACTCTTCTCAGTTGAAATTGAAAATCAATTAACTACTCCACACGTGTTTCATGAAAAGTAAAAGGCCTTAACAGCGGAGAACAATGCTTAACTGAAATACTTGTAACTTAATTATATTCTGGTTGGTCTCGATTATAAGCACAAAATGATACAATTTACAACGCTAAAAAAAAAAAAAATCTATCTCATAAAAAAGGACACTGATGAGGCTTTTAAGTAATTTTATAATATTTTAACAATTTAAACGTAAAATCTATTATAATTCATGAAATAACAAATAATTGTATTAAAAATTCATTTTTCATTGAAAAAATATTGTCCATATTCATAAAAATAATAAAAAGCAAATAAAAGCATTTGAAATTAAATAATATATTTGTTTTAGTGAGTTTTTGTATGTTACAATTCAGAGCTGATTTTCGGAGGTACTGCGTATCAATTAAAAAAAAAAAAAAAAAACATGATTTGCATTCCTCAAAAGCAAGTATGTGCTTAATTATTGTAATCCACTAAAACTAGTGCAGTCAATTCCTAGTGTTTTCATAAAATTAGTTGGGTGGTGGGGAAATATTACAAAAAATATTTGTACCATGATTTCATAAAAAAAAAACAAAACATATTTATAATGTCGATCATCTGTGAATAATTCCTGATTTCATCAACATCCGTGGTATTTCTATTTTGCGATTTTCAAATTAATGTGTGTCATACTGCAAAAAACATGCTAAAATTGTCTGTTATTTACTAGTTCTGCTGATACAAATAGAAAAAAAGGTTTTTTTTTTTAGGCAAAATTTAGAATGTTGTAAAAA